TTCAAAGAGATATTTGTACCCCCATGTCCATAGCAGGATTATTCACAGTAACCCAAAGTGGAAACAACCCAAGGGTCCATGCACAGCTGAATGGACAAACAATGTGTGGTACATCCACACAATAGATGTACACAGCCTTTTTTTTTTTTTCTAAAGGAAATTTTGACACGTGCTACATTGGGGATGAATCTTGAGGACATGATGCTAGGTGAAATAAACCAGACACAAAAGGACACACACTGTATGATCCCTCTCACAGGCGGTCCTGAGAGCGGTCCAATTCATCCAGACGGAAAGTAGCACGGTGGTTGCCAGGGCCTGGGGGGCACGAGAGAGTGTGGAGTGAGAGTTTCATGGGCACAGTTTCAATTTGGGTAGGTGACAAAGTTCTGGAGATGGATGCTGGTGATAGTCGTGCGACATCATGAACGTACTTAATGCCACAGAACTGTACACTTTAAAAAAAAACCGTTGAAATGGTAGATTTTCTGTTACATGTATTTTGCCACAATTTTAAAAAAAGGATAACCGAGTCCCCCCTCTGCGTGTCACCCCCAGTCTCCCGCTCAGCTGCACCCCAGAGGCCCGCTTCCTGCTTCTTAGTCATCTTGGCCGATTAGGTTGATTTCAAACCTTTCTTCTGTGGATTTTCGCCCCAAGGTGTCCAGCACTGACCAAGGAGCTGAGTGCAGAAGAGGACAAGGGAGGCACAAGTTTCAAAAAGGAAAACTGCCATCAAAGCTCAGATTTTGGAGCTTTGGAGAACCTTCTAGTTCAACCCAGGAGGCAACATCAAAGCAGCCACCAACTTGCCCCTCGGGGCCAGCTGCCTGGATTCAAATAATGCCCCCTCCCCTATACACTGTGTGACCTCAGACAAGTGACGCAGCCTCTCTGTGTCTCAATTTCTTCATTTGTAAAATGCAGGTGCTGATGCTACCCCCCGCCCCACCCAGGAGCACACCTCACTATGGTCAGGTTTGAATGTGTTAATACATGTGAAGCACTTAGAACAGTGCCTGATACCAAATAACAGCCCACAAGAGAGTTTGCTATTATTGTCATCCAGATTCAAGTGAATTCAAACTTCTGCTTGAATGCCTTCTGGGATGGAGAGCTCACTCCTCACCAGGGCACCCTGTTCCCCCATTAGAAGGTTGGGTGTATTAGAAAGCTTTTCCCTCCTTGAACCTCTCTTCCTGACAAAGCTGGCCCTGCCCTCTGAGGCCTGTCATGAAGACACACGTCAGTCAAAGTCAAACGACACCACCTGCTCAGGGGTGTGCTGCCTCGTTTGCCTGAGCTGATATTCCTCCGGGGACCCAAAGCTCACACAGCCCAGATCCCGGAGCGCAGATGTCTGTCCCCATTCAGGACTCAGCAGAGGGTGGTGCGCGCTAGCCTTGGACGCCCATCGGGGCCCTCTCCCATTGGTCCTGGCTGTGGAGTTCTGTGCACCAGGGCCCCAAAATCCTCTAGCTGGTTCCTGAGCCTCAACCTTCCAGGCTTCAGAGAGGAGGCAGCTGCTGGTGTCTGGGGCCAGCCCAAAGGTGTCTGTAGCCCTTCTTTCTCACAGGAGGGAAACAGGGCTGAACATTACTGCTCAGGACTGGGAAGGTCTAGAAAGGAGAAAGAGGTCACCCATCTGGCCAGGGCAGTCTGTCCCTTTGGAAAATTGCTGAGCTCAACCAAAGAGTGTTAAGAGTCTACTGCTACAGTCTCAGCACTTCACAGGTGCATTTGCCAGCATGTTCTAGCAGGGCATGGCGTGGATTCTGGGGTCAAAGCTGGCTCTACCCCTTCCTGCCCGTGAGGCCTACTACCCCTTCCTGTGTGTAAAGCGGGGGCAGTAACAATAGTCCCTGCTCGTAAGGCTGGACTGAAGAGTGGAGAGACGGCGCAGCTCTGCACCTGCATGGAAAATGCTTAATAAATGGGAACGGTTATGGGAAGAGGGGCTTGAGGTGGGCCCTGGATTTCCCACTTAAAATCTGGAAGGATCATTTAGTCTGCTGCTTCATTTTACAGATAGAAAAACAGGCCTCGAGCCAAGAGGTCCAGAACTCACACCGCAGTTTGGTTACCGCCCAGACCAGCACCTTGCGAGCAGCCCCGAGGCTCTTGCTTCTTGTAGGCTCTGGCCCTTGCCCTGCTTGCCAGGCCGGCCCCTTGTGTTCTGGAGGGCAGGTGAGGCAGGGTGGCTGGGGCAGGGGCGATAGTGGCTCTCCCCCTCCTCTGTTCCCTCCAGGAGCCCCCTAGCCTTATGAGGGCAGCACCTGCTGCATCTCCTGCAGTTCTGAGTGACAGCCGCTGGGTGTCGCCACACAGCAAGAAAACAAAAACAAAAACAAAAACAAAACGACGGGTCGCTGGGAGCCCAGACCTAATGGGAGTTCCGTCTGGGAACAGACACCTCCCAGAACTGCCCCCCATCGTCTGTGGGCTCCACGCCAGGCTGTCCCCAGCAGCTCCAGAGTTCCCCTCACAGCGCTCCTGACGATTTCAAGCCTTTCACCACCTCCTCTGCCCCACCAGCTGCTGAAAGGGAGACCTGGCACAGCCTCTCGCAGCTTGAGCTCCCCCCTCCCACAGTGCTCCACAGCCACGTGGGACCCATCACCGCCCCCGGCCTGCCAGTGCTACCCACCTTTGCCCTTGCAGGGCCTCCAGGTGGCGAGCCCTCCCTCATTTCCATCTGGGACGGGCCTGCTGCCTGCTAGACACTGTGCACAGAGGATTCCGAGTGCTTTATGTGTACCGCAACCCCATAGGTAGGTACCATTTTCCAGAAAGGGAAACTGAGGCACAAGTAACACGCATCGAATCTTAGTTATTAAGTAGTAGAGCCAGGGCCTATGCCATCAGCTTCAGAGTCTGAGCTCTTGCTGGTAACCACTTTTCTATGCACACTCCATCCCTCTCTCCTGACCACCCACGGAGGTCTTACCCTCTTGTGGTGTTTCATGGGTGGGGCTCACCGGAGCCTCTGTCATTAGATGGGGAGAGCAGGACTGTGTGAATTCACCTCTGGCCTTGCAGCTTCTGATCCCTGAACAGAATGGTTACTCTGATGGGGGCCTCTGCTTGGCCCCGGGCACCTCTGAGTTCAGGACCTCTCTGCGGGGATCAGGCAGGCTCCGTCTCTGGCAGGTCCAGTCACTTCAGGCCGACTGCAGCTAGGGCATCTCCTGGGTGGGGCAACCCCCTTTCCCTTGCCACCCTCTTCATCCATACCTTACTTTCCCTTATGAGTCGGGGTGCTCTGGAGCTGACTCATACCAGCTCGTGAGAGTTAAAGGCAAAACCTCCAGGAAATTTGTGAGCTGGTTGTTGAACGCCATTGTTAAAAATCAAATTATATAAACTTACAATTTAATAAGTTATATAAAAACAAAGGTAATAGGGGAGCTTGGCTGGCTCAGTGGTTAAGCGTCTGCCTTCGGCTCAGGTCATGATCCCAGACCAGGGTCCTGGGATGGAGCCTCGCATCGGGCTCCCTGCTCAGCAAGGAGCCCTGCTTCTCCCTCTGCTGCTCCCCCTGCTTGCGTTCGCCCTCTCCCCCCCTCTCTCAATCTGTCAATAAATAAATAAATAAAATCTTAAAAAAAAAAACCCTGAGGGTAATAAATATTTCAAAGTCATTACCCTCTTGTTATATTACTACATTTGTCTGTCATTCATGGTCTCAAGGTCACTTCTGTCTATTGGATCTGTCCAGTGCAAATTCTATATAGCGGTGGCTCCACAGGGGGCCGAGCATGATTTCCCGACCCCCTGCTCGGTGACCTTGCCTTAGTAGTTTGAAAGCAGCCATGATGGGAGTTTACACCACAGAAACGTGGCAAATGCTACACATGGCGGCCCCCCACTCCCACCCCATCCCCAGAGATCCAGTTAAACAGTTACAGGCTTCAAAGCCCCTTGGGGCAAAGGGGCCGGCCCAAAGGGAGCAGGGCTCACTCCCGTTGTAATCCTTCACCGACTCTGAGGCCTGGCCAGAGTCTTTGGGCCTCACCTTTCCCATCTGCAAAACAGGCTGAGAATACAGCTTTGAAAAACTGAGGAGCCGAAACCATGCCCTCAGGAAATCTGCCAACAGCCCCCCGGAAGCGGGTCCGGTTGCGGCCCTCGGTGAAGAGGAGGAAATGGGGGGCTGTAAGGGGACAGGCCCCCTCATCAGAGACGACACGGCAGGATTGGGCCACACTCCTAGCAGCTGGAGCTTGTTGGCCCCGTAACCATAGTACCCCGGCCATAAGGGGGTCTGGGGGACTGTCCGAGGTAATAATGTGTGTGGAAGGGGGCGCCTGGGTGGCTCAGTCAGTCGTCTGCCTTCAGCTCAGGTCATGAGCCCGGGGTGCTGGCTGGGAGCCCGCTTCTCCCGCTGCCTGCCCCTCCCCCTGCTTGTGCGCGCTCTCTCTCTCTCTCTCTCTCTCTCTCGCTCGCTCGCTCTCGCTCTCTGACAAATAAATAAACAAAATCTTAAAAAAAAAAAAGTGTGTGGAAGAGCTTGGCACCGATCTGGCTCCAGCAGGAAACGGAATAATTCCCCGAGAGGCTTACAAGTGGGGTCTGGGCCCACCCACACTGGAGCCTCAACTCTTCTCTTTCCTTCTGTTTTCGAGATCTCTGGCCCGTCAAGACACTGCTTGTCTAAAGCCTCACTTTCCCCGCATGGAAAGAGGGATAATAATAGCCACCTGGAAGAGCCACTCAGAGGATTGGCCATAAAGGATAGAAAGTGTCTGCTGAGAAGTGGATACTTAATAAGTAGGAGTGATGGTTTGAGATTATCTTTTATTTCTTGTCACTCAAAAGACAGCAACAATGCCCAGCCCGGTCCAGGGAAGCCGGCGACTGGGGGGCCAAGGAGGCAGGACCTCGCCCTCATCCCGGCCAGCTCGGCCTCTCAGTGGGCCCTGGCCCTAGAAGGGCCTCAGAGGCGGGGACACTGTTGCTAGGCACCGGTTGCCAGGCGACACACTGTTTCTCCTGGCCGGGCCACCTCCCAGAGGGCCTGGGCTTCCCTGGAGCAGCTCCCGTCCCCTGCAGCCTCTCACCAGAGCCGCAGCAGAGGGCAGGTGAGGGTGGGGCCCGCTGCGGTTGGGCCCCAGGAGGGCCTGGCCAACGTCCCTCAGCCAGGCCCCCGCCCCCGAGCAAGCTGAGGGAGGGACAAGGAGCCCCGGGCTGGCAGTGAGCTCCAGAGCTGGGCTGGGAGGTTGTCTGTCCATTGGGTTCCCAGAGGAAGCCAGGAGGGGATTCAGATAAGATCAGGGGCTCGGAGTCAGATACCCCGGGGCCTGAATCCTGGCTCCTCCCACCCATCATGAGCTCATCCTTCATCACTTGGCGTCCTAGTTTCCTGGCTGTAAACTGGGGAGATAACGAGGTGTGGGGAAGGGGGAATGAGCGTATATGATTATGTGTTGACGACGACCAGTCCTTCCTTCAGTTGGGGGTGTGGGTGTCGGTGGAGAGGGACGGGCCGAGCGGAAGGCCCTGGCTGGGTGGGGCTCCAGCTTCACCTCTGGGGCCTCTGCAGCCTGGGCCTGAGACAGGCTCCGGGGCTTGGGCTGCTGAACTGATGGGGCTCCCTGTGCTTCCTCCCTAGGCGCCCCCCGGGGCCCTGCCCCACAGCACCATGATGGGGAAAGTCCCCTTGGGGGTTGTCTCCCCTTATGTGAAGACGAGTTCGGGGGGCTGCACGGATCCCCTGAAATTCTATGCCACTAGCTACTGCACAGCCTATGGTGAGCGCCCCTGTGTGCTGGAGCCACCCTAGGCCGTGGGGCAGGATGGGGGGAGGCCCTCCCGCTGTGAGAGGAGCAGCCCCAGCGGCCCTGTCACACACGCTCAGAGGGACCCCAGCGAGCTGAACCGACCCATCCCCTGAGCACCCCCAACAACCGTGTCCATGCCTGTCCCATCAGGCTGGCTTTGCCCCGCTGCCCCTCCCCCGAGTCCATCCCGTGATTCTGCCACACTGACCTTGTCCCTCCCCTATTCTCTCCATTCCCCGCTGCCGCAATCTCGAAGGGCCAGGCTTTCACGGCTCTTGTTCCAGCCCCTGGCTCTATGCCTTCTCCATCCCGAGGACCCCTGGGCCCTGGGGGGGGGGGTTGGGGGTGTGTGGCGGGCCCTGCTTGGGAGGCCCTGCTCACTGTTCTTCCACTCCCCTGCCCCACGGGCCTGTGCTGTCCCCTGGCTTCTCCTCCGGCAGGTCGGGAGGAGTTCCGGCCCCGCACGGGCAGCCACGAAGGCACAGGCTACAGATCCAATTACCGGCCTGTGGTCTCTTACCCCGCCAACCTCGATGCCGTGGACAACCCAGCCATGGGGTAAGGTCTGCAACCCCTTCTCCCTCCCTGCCCCGCTGAGCCTTAGCGCTCAGGGCCATTGGAGCTCATCGGCCCGACTGCGGGCTCCGTGCATGGAGACCCTGAACCTTGCCTGGCCTAGGTCTGGCGTCCTGGGGCACTCAGGGCATGGCACCCACCTGGGGCCCCAAGGCAGGCGGACTCCTGAGGCATCTGTGGGAGGTTTGAGGGAAGTGGGCAGCTTCCAGAAATAAGCACTGCAGCCTCCGGGTGGCTCCTGCTCTACCCTCAGGGAACAAGGCGGCCACAGTTTCCAGTCAGTGACCAGTCAGAGCTACTGCCCCCTGGAGGCGCCTGATGGCAAGTACCCACTGCCGTGGAACATGCATCAGACCAGCTCTGGCTACTGGCGGGAGAAGCCCAGTGCGGCGACCCCCACTAAGGAGGTCAGTGCTGGGCTAGGGCCAGGAGACAGAGGGACCCCAAGGCTGGGGTGGAGGAAGGGCCGAGGGGGCGGAGAGCGTGAGGATCCCCCCAGCGGGGTGGGACTGCCCTGCCAAGAGTTGGCCCAGGCTGAGACTCCTGGGCGCCGCGGAGCCACCATGCGGCTGAGAGTCTGCTCACCCGTGTCACCTCCGTCCCCATCCCCGGAGGCACCGCCACCTCCCCTCCACCTCCATCCCCGTCCCTGTCACTGCCGTCACCCCCACCACCCCCGTCTCCAATCCCAACACCAACCCCACCCCCGCCCCGTGGTCCCCACCATCCCGTCCGCATCTCCAGCCCCGCACGACCACCCTCACCACCAGTGTCACATTTCCTTTTGTCGTCCCCATCTTCTTCACTCCATCGACATTATGATCATCGTCCTTATCACCAGCAGGAGAATGTATACTGTCATTCATTCGTTCATTCATTCATTCATTCAGCTGATGCGTTCTGAACATCTCTTTTTTTTATTAAGATATTTCATTTATTTGTTTGAGAGAGAGGATGAGAGAGAGAGAGAGCACATGAGAGGGGGGAGGGTCAGAGGGAGAAGCCGACTCCCCGCTCAGCAGGGAGCCCGATGCGGGACTCGATCCCGGGACTCCAGGATCATGACCTGAGCCGAAGGCAGTCGCTCAACCAACTGAGCCACCCAGGCGCCCACTGAACATCTCTTTTATATGTGAAGGTGCTAAGTGCTGGGGAAAAATGCAACAGGGAAGAGGCAGGGGGTGAAGCAGTAGTGAAGGGGTTGCAACTGCAAACCAGGAGGGTGGGAAAATAGCTTGCTGTGGAGACGCGAGTCAAAGACTCAAGGGAAGTTAGTGTCCCCTAAGTGCAGCGATGTGAGAGAGAGTTCCAGGCAGTGCAGATGGCAAGCGCAAAGGACCTGAGGTGCGAGTATCTGATGTGACAAAGAATAGCAAGGAGGCAGGTGGCTGGAGCCAGGCAAGGAGCCAGGGTCCTTGTGGGTCTCTGTCAGCCCATGGGGTTCTACTCCTAGTACAATGGGACTATTGCAGGGCTCTGAGCAGAGGAGGGACATGACTGGACTTTGTCAAGGGACCCCTCAGGCTACGGATACTCTGTAGGGGTCCAGGGCAGAAGCAGAGTCAAGACATGAACTGCCATCCCTTTGCCTGGAGTGTGACTGGCCACTTCCTCCTCCCAGGTCAGGAAGGTCCATTTTGACACCCAGGACTGTGGGCCGCAGGCCATCACAGGGCTGGAGCCCAAGGACGTGCCCCTGCTCCACCAGCTGCAGGGCAAGGGCTCGATGGAATGGGAGAACGCCCGGCATGTGAGTGGGCAGCCCCCGGTCAGGGCTGTGAGTGGGGCAGAGGGGCCAGACTCACCTCCTTCCCCTCCTGGAGACGGGCACTGCTCTGACTCAACCGAAAAGCCAACTAAATGTGGGCTCAGGGTACCTAGAAAAACTGGGGAGAGCCAAGGATATTTGGTATTTCCAAGACAGCATCAACGTGGTCACCACGGGCTTCCTTATTCGGGTCTTAGGACTTCACCCCAGAGGCCCCTTCCCTCCCCTCGCCCATCCGGACTCCCCGAGCTCTGGGCAGTGCAGTGTGGTGGGAAGACCTACTTTACTCCCTTAGCCTCTTTCCTCGCCTTGGGCCCCCCCTTCAGCTGAGTCCCTGGGTCCCATGTTCATTCCTGGGAGTCCAGTGTGGGTGGGACGGGCTTCATTGTCACAGGAGAACTTACCGGGAGTGTGTGGGGTTCTGCTGCCCCATCAGAGAGGGGCCTGCCGGGCCTGCCGTCCCTGGCTTCCCCTCGGGGACTATACCGTGCGGGTCTGCTCAGAACACTGAAGAGCCACCACTGCCGCCAACCGGCCCCAGGCCCTGGTCCACCTTGCGGGCCCCAGTGCTCTCCCTTCTGTGTTCCAGGGCCCGTGCTTCATGACCTCTGAGTACAATTCCAAGTATCTCAAGGAGCCTTCAAACCAGCCAGGTAGGCCCATGTCTGAGCTCATGCTTTCCTCCCACTACACCTCCCTCCCCCTGGCCACAAGGAGAGACATGGCAGGGGCGGGGGGTGCAGACGGAGCTGGTGCTGGACAAAGAAGGCACCAGCAGGAAGAAAGAAGGGTACAGAGGCAGCCTGGGGGACCTGTGCCCTAACGCCAACCCCCCCCGAAGGATGACTCACTGGTTTAGGAGGGCTGTTGATCCCGACCCCAGCCGCCTCCCGGCCTGTTGGCACCTGCCCTTCCTGCACCTCTCTTCTCCTCTCCCGTGTCGTTCTCTGTCCTGAACTCTGGAGTCTTCCTGGTGCCCATGATCCTATAGCTCAGGCGTCCAGATCCTTGGAGCCAGCTCCCTCCCCACTGGCTGGGACACTGAGCCTCAGGAGGCCCTGTGGGTAGAGCCAGCTAGGTGGCCGGGATGGGGGGCAGCACAAGGGGGATGTCTTTTGCAGATCTCTTGCAGAAGAAATCAATTGGCGCCAAAGAAGAGACTGGCTTCACTGAAGAGTCCACCAAGAACCCCATTGTCTTCCAGCCCCCTTCCCAGGCCCTCCCTGGGGACCCGGTAAGTCAGGCCTGTGCCCATTAGAATCTCGGGGTGACTTCTAGCTTAAAATGTGTGAGCTGCTGAACCCTGTGGTCAAACACGAGATGAACAAGTGTGGGTAAAAACCATTGCTTTGGCCCAGCTCCCCCAGTTTACGGATGAGGAGACTGGGGTCCCAAGAGGAGAAGGGGCAGAGCCAATGTTACTCAGAGTCCAGGCGAGGGCCCTGGCCTGCTGCAGGTTCTCACTCAGCATCGTTACTCCCCAAACTCTTCCCTTCCCCGGTTACCCCAATCACACGCACGTGTCGTGAGCCCCCTCTGCGCTCAGGCCCCGGGGGGCAGCTGCCGCTGCCGGGCTGACGCGCCTCTGCGGGCCTCTTTCCAGGTCCTCCTCCCTGGCCGGAGTGTCACCAGGTCTGACTTCCTCCCCATGTCCCACCCTCATGTAAGCTGAGCCCCTGGGGGTGGAGGGCGGTCTGACCCCAGGGCCTGGGGTCCTTCCGTGGGGCAGTGGGACAGTAGCTGGAGGACTGCGGGAGGCGCAGCTATGCTCTGGTGCCAGGGGGCTCGTCTGCGGCCTTAGGGGGACGAGTTCCTGCCTGTGCTGGCCAGAGGCTCCGAGTGGGAAACGGGCTACAACCGGGTGACGGAGAGGACCCTGAACCCCAGAGTGAGTGGACTTCGGGGACCGGGGGGCGGGGGACTCCCTCAGAGCGGGAGCATTCCCACGGGAGGGGGCAGGGAGGTTCCTTGGATGCAGACACACTTGGGCGCTGAAGGATGGGAAGGATCAGAATATCTGGACCCTCCCGGGGAGGGGCGAAGGCCCAGGGATCGGAAAGTGAGGGGTGTCTTTGACCCAGGGAATTCCGTGTGCCTGGAGGGGCAAGGGCGAGGTCCTGGGGCTGGGGGCAAGCTGGGGCCCCGTGTGCCTCTGCCGGCCCTCCCTCTGTCCTTGCCGCCTGACTCTGGCCACCCACCGCCTTTCTGTGGCTCCGTCCCCTGCAGGTGCCCCCTCCCGGCCCAGAACCTAGCAGCATGAGCCACTGGCAGTTCCAGCCCCCGCAGCGCATGCAACAGACGAACTTTGCCTTGCTGGGCCGGGAGACCGTGGGGAACAAGGTGAGGCCGGGGTGCCCAGCCCCACTCCCAAATCTCCACCCCCTCCTGACCTCACAACTCCTCTCCGTGCCTCTGGTGCAGGAGCCCACGGGGTTCAGCCTCAACAACCCCAGCTACTTCCGGAACCCTTATGACCCTGACATGGATAATCGGTACCTGACCACCTACAACCAAGGGTGAGCACCCCCCTTCCCTGTCCAAACCCAGGGCTGTGAAGCCAGCACGCATTTCACAGGCAGACACTGGGACAAGTGATGAGCTCACAGCCTGTGAAGTAGACCAACACTGAGCTAGTGTGGGATCCCCCAGAAGCAGCCCCTGAGCCAAGGATCTGAGCGCGAGCCTCTTACTGGGGAGTGCGGGGGAGCTGGGAAGTTGTGTGGGAAAAGGAAGGCAGCCCAAAGCCAGCGCGTTATTAACCAGATATCCCGTGGGGAGGCTCTAGAAAACTGTGCAAACACACGACTCAGAATGATCCCGGCCAAGGGGAGAGCGAGCTGGGATACTGGTACCCCCACAGCCATTGGTCAGTAGTTTAGGGCGGTCCCCGGGGACCATACTAAAAATCCCAGGCACCTCCTTGCTACAGTTTGCGAAGCAAGCCCCAGCCGCCCAAGGGCAGCCGACCTCTGCGCTTCTCCCTGATGCTGTGCCCAGGCTGGTGGGCAGGGGACGAGTAAGGGGCTGAAGGGCGTCTGGGTGGAGCAACATGGCATCTGCAAAGATACTACGTCCAGTCCATGGTGGGGGGTGGGGGGCTCTGCGTTCCCAAGAAAGTAAGCTCTTTGCCGAGCATCCGGGAGGGCTTCCAGGAGGAGGTGGCCCGAGAGCCATGGGGAGGACTCCCGGGACCAGGACTGGATGGGGAGGGCATTGCAGGAGTGGGTTAGAGCCTCCTTGCATGACATCTGTCATCTGTGCCAGCGTGTGTCACTTGTGTCCACACTGGCCCCCCACTTGGTCTCCCAAGTTGCCTCCCATCCTTGGGGCTGGCGCCCCTCTTTGGGACGGGGACCTTGAGGCTCAGATGGGAGAAGTGGCACCTAAGCCACATTGCAGGTCCGTGACACAGGTGGCTGCTCCAGTCCCCATGAGGGGGAGGGGGAGGGGCAGAGACTCAGGCTGGGTGTCGGCGGACAACAGTGTCCCTGTCCGTCCTTGGGCAAACGCCCTCCTCCAGCAGCCCCGGCAGACCGTCGGCCCCAGCCATGTCTACGGGGTCCTTCTCCCGCCCGCGCATTGGCTTTCCCGAGCTCCTGCCAGGGGTCAGGCGCGCGCGGCTCCTTCCCCAGGGGTTGTAATCACTGACTTCCTCATGTATCTCTCTGCACCCCCACTTCATACGCTCAAGGGCATGGCCCACATCTTACTCATCCTGGCCCTTTCAGAGCCCGGCCCAGTGCTCAGGGAGCATCAGCAAAATGCAAGCAAAGTGGACCGCCCAGAGAGAAAAGAATGAGCCGGGGTCTCCACTCCCCCACTCCTAAGAAGTTCATGGGCCAGGGAGGGAGGCAGTGTGCAGACTGTCCTTTCTGCTCCCGAATGCTGGCGCAGCATCGGGGGGCTGGGCGAAGGAGGGCCGTCCAGCTCAGCGGCAGAGCCAGGGCAGGCTTCCCGAGTGAGCAGCGTTCCCCAAGTGGACAGGGGCTCAGGGCAGAGGACACAGCATGAGCAAAAGCAAGGAGGCTGGAGGGATCTGAGGCCATTTGTGCTCTGCTGGAGCCAAGATTCCTGTCCAAGAAGGACAGAGAGGCTGCAGAGGTGGGCGGAGGCCAGCTTATCACCAGCAACACCCCCGCCCCCCCGTCCCCACCCCGTGCTGCAGGTACTTCGAGAATATCCCCAAGGGTCTGGACCGAGAAGGCTGGACTCGAGGTGGCATCCAGCCACAGAAGCCCGGAGGCTATGCCCTCAACCAGCCGGTCACCCGCATGGAGGCCACCCCCAACCCCACGGAGAGCCTACGGCACCTGCACCCCCACGTGGGAAGGTAGCCAGCCCTCCCTCCCGCTCTGTCCTTTGCAGCATCCAGGCCTTTCCCCAGCTTCTTCCCTCCCTCCGTCTGTCTGAGAGGCCTATTTCTTCTCTCTGGCTTGCTCGCAGCTTTTCCGGCTCCTCCCCCGCTCTCCCCCGCGACCCCCCCCCCTGCATGGCCGCCCCCCCCCCCCCCCCCCCCCGCCCCGCCTCGTTCCCATCCCAGAGGCCAGCTCCACACCTGCTCCCTGCCAGGCTGCAAGGGGGTGGGGACAGAACTGAATGGACTGTGGTTCTGCCTCACTCTGACTCCTTTCGGCTCAATTCAATTCCTCAAAAATTACATTTCTAAGACAATGGCCCAGAGTTGGCAGGCAAAGAATGTGGCTTGGCTGAGAGCTGCCCCAGGGGAGGGGCAAGCAGAAGAGCAGGTCCCACCTTGCCTCACATCCCCCCTCCCCTCCACTCCTCCCCTGCCTGCAGAACCCTGATCGCTGTGGATCCCTTCTACCAAGCCCCACCTCACAGCAGCCGCTTCATGACACCCAACTGAGCCTGAGGCTGGGTAAGGGGCGCCCCGCGTGGGCCAGACCCACATCCCCAGCCCTGGGTCAAGCGAGCCCTGCTGGGGACCCAGCCTCAGAGTGAGGGGTGGAAGACCGGGGCGGGGGGGGGGCTCTCAGGGCCGGGGGAGGGCACAGGACCCCCTCCCCCTGGGAGCCCCTCAAGTCTCATCTCCGTTCCTCACAGGTTTGCCAACCCAGCGGGCAGGACGGGAGCCGGCTACGGTCCCTACCCCCACCCCTCCCTGCCCAGATTCCCCTGGCTACTTTCCTAATGAAATAAAGAGCAGTGAAGCGGGCCGTGTGTCCAGTCACTGGCAGGGGAGCTGGGAAAAGGATGGGGAGGTGGGGTACGGGGCGCGCATGCGGGAGTGGAGGGGCCCCGGGCCAGCTTTGGAGTCAGGGAGGTCGGGTTGGACTCACGGTGACACGAGGGACAAGGACACAGATTCCTCTCCTGTCGGGGGGTCTCCTACAGTTGGTGCTGAGTGCTCAGTGGGTGTGGAAGGCCGGGAGCCCTGGCAGGGAGCCGGCGGTCAGAGTGGGGAGAGGCAGAGGGGGGGCAGAGGGGCAGGCAGTCACAGAGATCTCTCTCTAGAGACGGATGAGGGTCTGTGACGGAGGGACGCCTGGACCCTGAGCCAGGGAGGGGCAGGGGCTGGTTGAAAAGGCTGGTGCCTCAGGGCAGCCCTTTTGTGAGATTTAGAACAAGGATCCTCCCCCACCCCCAAGCACAGTCCCTAAAGAGCAAACTTCTTGTGGGAAGAATGCATCCCTTCCTCCAGACTCTGCCCCCTGACACGGGGGCCCTCAGGCTGCAGGGCGGAGCCCAGGCTGCCTCTCAGTGCCTTCCCTCACCTCCAGCAGGTGCATTTGCACAGTGCACAACTATGCAACCGCACGCTGTGTTCCTGCCGGCACCAGGTCCTCATTTTATAAAGGGGAACCTGGACCCAGAGAGTGTGCCTCAGTTGCTTGAGGTCCTAGGGTAGAGAGGCAGCCGCAGCCCAAGGCGGGGATGTCTCCAGCACCTTCCAGGCCAGCCGGCATGCCGAGGGGCAGACTCAGTGGTCTAGCAGCTGCCCCCTACACCCCACCCTCCGTGGGTGTCTGTGGAGCAGCGCGGCCGGCCCCGGGGGCCCGGGTGTACCAGCCGTCTTGAACGGCAGGCCTGGGGGCTGTCCTCGCTAGGCCTGGCTGGGGATCCATGTGGGACGTGGGTGGCTCCAGCTGGCTCCAGCCCTGGAGGAGGGGAGGAGGGGACACAGTCTCTCCGCTGCAAACCCAGCCAGACTCCGGACCCAGTGACAGCCCCACAGGCTGTGGGTGGGTCCTGCAGGTCCGTGGCCTCCAGCACTAGGGGTGAGTTACCAAATCAGAGATTTGCCAACTGGGCTGGGTCCCAATTGTGGCCTGGCCGTGAGGAGGTGGGGGAGGGGATCGACAGGGCCCCCTCCCGCCCACAGTCCCCTCCCCCCAAATACACAGACCCCTGGAGACGCACACATGTTAACACGCACATGCCAACAGACAAGGACACACAGACTAACACATAAGCACGCCGGAGACAGATGGAGACATACACAAATGCACCGAAACACCCGAACGCTTGTACATGCAGACAGACACGCAGACACAGAGGCAGACTTACAGACATTCAACATGCTTAGACCCAGACACGCAGACACACCCCAACAGACGAGCAGAGACGTACGAGACAGACGGACAGACACACACACACGCCACTGCACGTGTCCGTGTCCTTCTTGCGCACCAGTATCCTTTTACAGCTCACCCCTCCTCTGTCTGACTCAGTAGGGGGTACGGTGTTGGGGACACTGGAGCCTCATCACACCCTTTCTCGGTCCCCTCCACCTCCCATTGTCCTGCACCCCGTTTCTAGGCCATGTGAGCTGGGGCCACCCCATGATGTTTCCTGAGCTGGAGCTCTGGACCGCACCCGAGGGAAGGGGGCTGAGTAGCACCTTTCTCTTTCCTTTAGCCCCTGCCTTCACCCCGTTCGGCCTCTCTCCAGGCAGCCCGTCCCAGCCTCCCCGTTTGGATCCTGGGCCCCAGCCCAAAGGACGGTGTAAGGACAGGGTGACCCAGGGCATGTGGTAGCAGGAAGGGGGGGCCAATGCCTAGCTTAGGTGGTTCTGGAACCCCTGCCTGGTACAGAGCATGGATTTCCCCAACTTCTGGACGAGGAGACAGACACAGAGAGGTGGAGCCACTCGCCCCAGGTCACACAGCACCAAGGGCTGTGGGTGGGCACCTGTTGGTAAGGGCTGGCGTGGCGGCCCAGAGTGGCGGCTGCCTGGGGGGGATGTGAGTTGACTCCGAGTCATATCCGCCTTCCTGACCTCTGCGCACTCCACTGAGTTACTCAGGGCAGGCCCCGTGGGGGAGGCAGGTGTGAGCTGGCCCTTGAAATGGGCAGCATGGCCAGTGGTGGGGGCTGAAGGCGGCGAGGCTGTGGGCAAGGACACAGTGCAGGGGCCGGCTCAAGGCCCGGCCGGGGGTCGGGGGGGGGGGGGGGACGGACAAGTGAGGCTGTGAGGTGGCAAGCCCATGGGGAAGGCGGGTTAGCTAGGTTTTCCTGCCATGCTAAGGAGCCCTTCTCTGTCCTCCTCCTCAATTAGGGGACTCTGTGTCCCCAGGGCAGGAGGGGTGGATACTCCCCACCCTGTGCCTACTGAGGTCACCGAACCCTCTGTTGAAGGGAAGGCCTTTGCCCTGTCACTCCCCCTCTTTGCTGTCAGGTGAGTGTGGGCGCGGGTCCTGTGGCTTCATTTCCCCTCGCCCCTCTGAGGCTTGAGTCCTCGGTCTGGCCCCAGCCAGCCTCAGCCCAGCGCCCTCTCTCCACCCCCGCCGCCCCCCCCAGCCCCGGCGGGGCCTGAGCTCTGGGGTCAGACTGCCTGGGCTCATTCCCGGCTCTCCACACCCAAGGCTGCCCCCTGCCCTGGGCTGTGGAGGCCACCTGACGGTTCTGAGCAGAAGCAAGTGGCAGGTCCCAGGCTGTGGGCTACCCGAGATGGCGGGCATAAAGTGCTCTGCGGGGGACGAGTGGCTGCCTTGATTCTGGCGCAGAGGGAACAGGGGCCCAGCTAGGAGTGGGGACTTGAGATAGTCACAGGCTCTGGCTCTTGCTTCCTCCTGCTTGGCCCTGGACAGGCCTCCTCAGGACCCTTCTCCGGGAGCAGCCCCCTCATGGGTCAGGTAACCCACTGTATGGCTTCGCGGGGAGGCCGAGGCTGCCCCTGTCGTGTCCCCGAGGGCAACTTCTGCCGGGCTCTCCTGGAGGCAGCCTGCCTGTCCCCGCACTGGAAGCCAGGCTTTGGGCGTGGAGGCGAGTCACTCGCAGTGGGTGCCGATTGTAGACGCTACCAGAAGCTTCCTTCTCCTCCCCACAGCTGCTTTAGAAACTGTGGGGGGGTGTACAATGACAACAACTAACTAGCTTTCTGAAGCCCCCACAGCCTGCTGGGTGCTGGGAATATTCCATGGGCCTTCAGCTCTTCAGCGAGAACGCCAGGGGGCCCCTCTCCGGGGGAAGTTTGGGGGCACGGGTGGGAGCTGCGCTGACAGCCGTGGTGTGGGGGTGTGCAGCCCCGCGGGCTGGTGGGACAGCAGGTCGGGGAGAAGCGCTGGATGCCACGCTCTTGGGCCCCACCTCGGACGCACGTGGACGCGTGTGAGGCTGCTGCCTGTCACGGAGCTGCGGCAGCTGACGTTGACAGGTACCATCTGGCCCAGGTCACGTGGTGACGTGCAGAGCCACCAGCTTGCGGGCTTGACAGCTGGCCAGGTGGGGAAGGCATCTGTCTGTGGACCTGGAGCCCCCCCCCCCCGGGGGAGGGGGTGGCAGGAAGCCTGCGTGGGGAGGACGGTGGGTTTGCTACGCCCAGACAGATGGAGGGCCTGAAAATGAGAATCCGATCCCCGCCTTCCTCTTTGACCATCTGGAGGGCCACCCATTCTCAAGGACATTTTCTGAAGAGCCAAATATGCAAGGGTAGAGGAGGAGTCAGGAAGCACCCTCCA